TGAACAAGGCCACACTTCAGAGCCAAATCAGACTCATCACCTCCCTACCAGCGACCGCTCTTCTGCTCAAGATTGGCCTCAGCAGAAGTTCCCGACCGGAAGTGAAGTCAAAGGTGGCGCTATGTATTACGATTGCACGGCAGGGGAAGGCGTCGATCAAATAAACGGCCCGACCATCAAGAATGATCCGAATCTGCTTAATCTGTTAGCTATGCAGCAATCTGGACCTCACTTCAAGTATACCCACTTTGGTAACGCAAATTCCACGGCTTCGTCTTACATGACTCAGACCTTGAGCTCTGCCAACAATGCACTCATGTATATCGACTGTACAAAGTCTGGGGCTGGCGACCAAATCAACAACATTGACGCCACTTACGATCAAGATTTGTGTGGGCTCCCGGTCTCGCACGCTTACTATTCTGGTTGCAAGGTGCTGCCAAGCCAAGACCTCGCCCAGAGAGCAGCTCGGCCAAGACAAATTAACGGTCCAAGCTTGAGGAGACTGCCGAAGGCTCATCCCAAGGATTGATGGATCATGATTATTTGTGAAGGATTCAGACATCCTGCGGCTTGACTGGGTATCGTGCCTTGGATTGTGTCGAGATTTGCAACTTGCTTTGATATTTCACTTTTGTACCTTCTCCTGGCTTTTGGTTATAACCCTCACTTTCTTTACAATGCCTGTCTGAAGTTCTGTTATCCGCAAACACTTCACTGCCTGAACAGTGGAATAGAACTGTGCCACTCTTTAGAATTACGTAGGAATTGAAGTCTTTAATTGATAGGCAAACTCCGAATTCGAACCGTCCGCTGATCTACTCATGACCTAAACCGATAGTGGCTGTGGGGCATCTGGCTCAGCATTATATGATATTCGACCAGCAGGCAGAAAGAAGAGTGCTACCAAAGCCCCTTTCCGAACTTCAGGAAAGTGATGCGTCCCTGGCCCAGGAGATGTCCAGCCAGCACCCTGCCAGCCTTGCATTCCTTTGAGTTCCGCCGTGGGATCGAGTTGAATAACACAGTTAATCTCGCCATAAGGATGAGCGTGATATTGTCCCCTAAATTCAGCATCGCTGTCCATGAATACAGTCGTGATACTGAAGTATCTTGTCGCCGCCGAAGGGAGTGAGATCTTGCCCCGCCGATATTTGCGTCCGTCAATTTCGGTCTGCGCCACCCATCCTTCTTCGAGACCCTGTTTGATATGGGAACAGAAGTCTTCGTAGTACTGATTGCCAGGTCCGAACTGCTGATTGAGTCGCGTCTCTAAGGCTTTACCGGGTGTTCTATAGTGGTCAATCATTGATTCCCAGCTAAAATCACGTCACAAGTGAAAACGACTTACAAATCTTGCACCTCATTCAAAAACTCGCAACACCGAGAAACAAACTTGGCCGCCGTCGGCCATTGAGACACGTCCAGCACCTCAGCTGTATCTGTCTTCTCCATTTTCTGAATTGAGAAAGCAGGTAGGAAGGCGGGGTTGATAGTGAACAGATGTGTTTTGGGGAAGAAATGCCTAAGCCGAGATAGTCTTGTCGGTAGTTGAAGCCGGAAGGCCACATGGTGCGGGGAAGAGGAGTCGCTTACATCTTGTCGGTCACGGCTGCACGGCTTCCTGGCGTGTCAATGACGGAAGCGACCGTTCAAGATGAGCGTTCACATGGCGCTCTTGTAGTTGAATGTTTGGACCCAACATGCAAGCCAAAGGAATAATTGCTCCCTGGATTTTCGAAAAAAGAATCGAAGAGTCGCGTATGATTATAGAATCGGGTACTGTTGCATCTCCGCAAACATTTCCGACAGCGATGAGATTGTCATCATTCTTTTCAATATCTGATGGTAAATGACTAGAATTTAGATGCTGTTTTCTCGAGAATCATAGTGGAATCAATCATGTTTACATTCAACTGAAACCAGCTGTGATAAGCTCCATGGTGCTGTTGCTCACCTAGCGTCTTTGCTCAAGGATTTTCTACAACCCCTAAGTATTGAATGAGATCTGAATTGAGCAGCATAATTTCTTGTGAGCGGGAAAAGAGTTGACTAATAGATAGCGGTTGATACCTGGGTAAGGTACCTTATTAAACGTCGTAGAAGTCCTCTTAACACCGCAATACTCCCATTCTTATCAGGTTGTCTACTTTAAATATGCCTCGCTGGTAATGAGAACATACAAACGTCTTCATCCATAACCTATATCTTTATTAAGGCACGTACGAGAACTGAGACAAAATTTGTCCGCTGCTGAACTAATTTTTGTCAAATAATTTGATGAGCGCCTTTAATCGCGTGGCTTATGCGCCGTTCTGACCGTTTGATGCATTGAGGGTAATAGGTTCGGGAAGATGATGTAGCAGTCTAGCGGAGAAAACATAGGAGAAGTGCACAGTATAAAGTGATTTTTGATCGACAGGGCTGCCTACTGCATCGTAAGATTCGGAGAAACATACATGTTTGGGAAAGATAAGTTCAGTATACCAGACGCATTGGTCGTGGCAAACACCATGCTTCCAGCTCGAGACACATCCAAAGGATCAGCGGTTCACTACATCAAAGGTACGCAAGGAAGCTAAGGATGCAACGCCATACACCATGATGCGCATGACCTTGTTTGCTAGGGCCGGCCGATCAGAAGCTGATATCATTGAGGGTGGAGTAGCACCGCATCACTGGGAACAGATGCCGGTGGGAGGCCGATATAATCATAGCTTGGCGGGATGAAATGCATGCCAGCTTGACAGAAGTCTCCGAAGTCCGCCTCTCACGATTGGAGGCATACAGAAGATCAGACGGAATGGGTCGGAAGCGTTCCGAGAATGATTTCGACTGGGAACATCCGAATTCAAGCTGAAAGCAACTCAAGAGTGTTTATCGACAAACGTTTAGCTGAGGCGATTACCATGGTTCCGGGCCTGGACTGGACCCCGATCACAATTCGGGATGGATGCGCTGCAACGGGGGGCGGGTGATCCATCCCAAAAGGGGAAGTTGTATGCGACACTGGGGCGACCACCAAGCTTGCCTCGCACGTATGCTTAATATGACTGCTCAACAACCTGGGCTCGTAGTATTGTGTAGGTAAAGCGTGGAATTAAGGTTCAAAATACATGACTTAAACTCCTGTAATCATATCTATGGTTGACAATCAGATAATGAGATGAACCCCCTTTCCGTCCTCGATCTTGTATAAAGACCCAGTGCTGGCAGCGATCATAATTGCCTTCCGTTCCTCATCCAGCAGGGTTACGTTTGTTTCCAACTCAAGATCATCCCGGCAAAATGAAGTCTTTCGTAGCTGTTGCTGCTGCCTTGGTTGGCATCGTCTCTGCACTCGACCCCATCTGCGATGCCGAATGCCAGAAAGGCTGCGACGCAGCCTGCCAAACCGCCATTCAAACCACCTACGAAGCTGAAGCTTCCCTGTGGGTAGGCGACATCGTGTCCGACCCGTTCTACTCTACGCCTTCCAACTTCACCGGTGCCAAGCCCGGTGACATCCTGCGGTGGGAGAACGTGCCCGCTGCGCAGCTCGCTTCGAACTGGACTATCCCGGCGAGTCTGTCATTGTCAAGGGTCCTCTATGTAACCGAAGACATTGACCGCAAGCCGATCCCCGCATCCGCTTGGGTTCTCCTACCTTTCTCCAACCCGTTCGCCAAGCCCGGTGCTACGGCCGAAGAGAACAAGCTGCGCACCGTTGTCTGGACCCACGGAACTGCCGGCCGTAGCCGCTTGTGTGCCCCCACCAACAACAAGGGTCTGTACTACGACTGGAAGGCCCCTTTCATACTTGCCGAGTCTGGCTATGCTGTCATTGCTCCCGACTATGCTGGTCAGGGTTCCGACATTCCCCAGGGCTTCATGTACGAGTCTGGCTGGCTCCACGTTGCTGATGTCGCATACTCTCTCGTTGCCGCGAGAAAGGCAATCGGCGACCTTTTGGGACAGAAGTGGGTGGTATATGGTCACAGTGAAGGTGGTATGACGGCATGGAGAACCAACGAGCGTCTGGCTCAGCCTGATCAAGAAGCTCTTCTGGAGGCCGGCGAGTTTATCGGCTCTGTGGCTGCCGCCCCTGCTTTGCGGCCGCAGAAGTTGATCCCCGCCTCTCTCGCGCTTGCTCAAGGAAAGGCTGCCCACGACCCCTTCTCGGTATACTTCCTCCAGTCTCTGTCTCTGCTCTTCCCCGACCAGATCAAGGTTGCGGACTACCTTGGAGAGATTCCCCTGCAGCGTCTGGGTGCCCTCGACAAGTCATGCTTCACGTCTGGCTTCGCTATTGTCGGTGATTTCACCCCGGAACAACTCTACAAGAACACAAGCTGGTTGACGCTTCCTATCGTCGACGAATGGGCTGTTCGATACAACGGTCAAGGCCCGCACTCCATCGCGGCGCCGATGTTGGTCATTTCGGGCGAGACCGACACGATCACGCCGAACAACCTTACACTCGATGACTTCAACCAGACTTGTACCTCATTCCCCGAGAGCCCTGTTCATGCAAGAGTTTACCCGAGCATGGGTCACGGCCAGGTTCTGGAGGCGGCGAGAGCTGACATTGCTGCATGGATTGGGGCGAGATTCGAGGGAGTTCCGGTCGAAAAGACGTGTGTGAAGGAGGAGGTTCAGCCTCTGACGGACAGATATGCTGTTGGCGAACTTTTCTGGCATGCAACTCTCCAGCCTTTCTAAGGGGTATTCAGAGAGGGCCATGCAGTTAGTGATGACTCCTTCATGGGAACTTGACATCATTCAACCGCCTTATTATTCTCAGCCTTATTGAGCTTTCTGGAAGTCATGCGTGTCAATGACTTGTCTATGGATTGTGGAGACTTGTACTTGATCCGGACTTGAAACCTAGCTCGAAATCATTGAAACAGTACAAATTTCTTGTTCGGACGTCGTAAACCTGAAAACTCCATGTGTTCTACCTCTACCCAAACAAGCCCACTTAGTGAAATGACGTATCCTGCTCCGATGCCACATCGCCATCACGGGTTAAGATTGAAGTTCAATTTCTTCTCGCCTCTTTTCTCACGCCAGTAATTTGTGCCTTCTAACAACTCCGGGCAGCCTCGAACCATCCAGCCCCATTTTCGCAGAAACGCGACGTTGACTTCCCACCCGCGGGGATCCCAAGACTCGCCCCAGACTATCATACGCGGTCGCTCGACGCCGTCCTTTTTGTCATCGAGATGGAAAATGTCGAGACAAAAGTCGTCTTCGTCAAAGAACCCGAGCTCTTCGGCCCGAATTCCGGCTTCTCTCAGCGATGGGAACGGGAAGACGTCAAGAAAGGGGTGATGTGTAATCTTTTTCTGCGCTTCCGTTGGACGTAAATATGGAGGCCACGAGAGCTCTTGTCGAGAATAGCAGGGAAGGTCTGGGCCTTGGAGATTGTATGGAGAAATGAACTCATCCTCACAGATGGAGTGTACGTTGAAGCCCAATATCTGCGTATTCCGCCAGAGCGCAGTGAGCAGGTTGAGCTTGACGAGGGCGCTTAGCTGTCGAGGGGCCGGAGTTCCGAGGGCATAATTTCTTCGTGCCTCCTGTGCGAGGATCATCAATTCGCTCCTCCTTTTGGGGCATGGCAGAAGCGAGTAGCCTTCATCTCCGGTGGTACCGTTTTGCAAACGACCAGCTGATTCTGCTTCTGCTATGGTCTCGTTGATCACTCCCTCTAGTTGACTCATCTGACGAAACACTTCCTGCTTCATTCTTCTACCTAGATGCAACCCATCCAGTTAGATGGCGTAGAGTGACTTGTGGAAAGCCAGGGAATTCGGGGCGAACTAACGGCGTGCTCTTTGGTTCAGTCGATTTTGAAGTTTCCTCCGCTCCTTGCTTGACGTCAAGCCGGTCCAATCTTCTGACGACTCTAGGGCTTCACTTTGCGCTGGTAACTGTCCTAAAGATACTTGGACGATTTCTGACGTCGAGGAAGATCCCGTCGTTGTCAATGATAGCTCCTCTTCCTGAGTTGACAAGTCCATCACGGCGGCTTCTACTGATTTCGGGCTGTTTAATTTTCTCGATAGGGAGGGGAAATTTTTAGTAGAAAGACGGGGAGGCTGCTGTGGTTGACTTTATGCTTTTCGCTGCGACGCTAGCGGTCCACTCCCCGATTCAGGCGGTGCTATGGCCAGGCATGGCTTGGCTTAGCTCACACAGCTGCTTTTATCTTGAATGCGGCATGGAGGGACTACGAGTAAGTCGGCCCGTCATTGAGCAGTTTGCTTTATTCCAACCTAGCTGCTCGAAGTTTCGGCCATATTTAGTAATAATAATTAGCTTTTCATCTGTAGAGAAGGTAAAGATCCTCGTAAAGGTGTCTCATTGGGTAGGGACAGAGCTAGACATCCAGCATAGGTACGTTAGTGCACTAGCACCTATAAGTTGGCTGCCTCCCCGGTTTTACTCTAACTCCGCTGACATGTAAAATTATAGGCGCTTTCGGTGACGAATGCATAGGCTTGGCTTTGTGTACAACGGGAGCAAACGACCCATAGATTTGTAAGCATACTGGTACGATGAACAAGAATACGGTCGGATAACGGATGTTGTTGAAGCAGCGGCAATGTATTATCCTTTCAGTTGGTTTATACTGAATTCTCGATGCTACCCAACGAAAGCGACCGACGGTCTAATATCTTAAGCCAGCCAATTGCCATTCTCGTCCTCGTAGCCCATATCGACGTAGGTCCAGCCCTGCTGGGTCATGACTCCATCGATCTCCATGTGCTGTACCGCAATTCCGTTGGAGAATCTCTCCTTCTTAATCGTCTTATGTGCCTCATTGATCTTGTCCATCTCCTCCTCGGTAAGGGTGACAAGGCGGATGTTCTCCTCGATCCGCTCCTTCTTGGCGCTCTTTGGGATGACAGCGATGCCGCGCTGGACGCACCAGGAGAGGGACACGACGCCTGCCGAGATACCGTGTGCCTTTGCGATGCTGGTGAAGAGCTCGTGGTTGAGAATTTCATTCTGGGAAGGACGCGAGCCACCCATCGTGCTGTCTCGGTTAGCGTTCCATCCATTTCTCCGACATGTCTTCGATCCTTGCTTAAGGGTATTAAGAAGCTCACCTCCAACTCGTGACAACAATGCCCTTCTCCTTGCAGTAAGGTACGAGGTTCAGGTTTGGGTTGAAAGCATGCAACTCAACCTGGTTGACGGCAGGCACAATAGTGGCCTCCTTGAGCAGCTCATCCATGACCTTGGGCATGAAGTTGCTGACACCAATTGACCTGCACTTGGGGCCCACCAGCTTCTCCATCAACTTCCAGGTCTCGATGAAGGTTGGGCTCTCCCACTTCTTCAAGACCTTCTTCTCCGGCGCCGGAGTCGTGGCCCAGGGCCAGTGCATGAGGAACACGTCGATGTAGTCAAGGCCCATGGTGTCCAGCGAGATCTGCAGGGCCGTCGCGGGATCGTGATGCCACTCTCCCCAGAACTTGGTCACCACGGTGATTTCCTCACGGGGGACGCCGCTGTTGCGAATGGCCCTGCCCACAACGTCTTCGACGCCATAGAGCTGAGCGGTGTCGATGAGACGGTATCCGGAGTTGAGGGCGTGTATGACAGACTCCTCCATAGCCTTGGAGTCATCCGATCCTGGAGTGCCTTCAGGCTGTCAGACTCAGTGGGACGCGTTGGGTATGAGAGCTCTCCCTACCTTGCCATGTTCCCAGACCCACGGCGGGGAGTTCGAGGCCTGCAAAAGGTTGGTCAGCGCATTGGAACTCATGAGATGCATGTCATGTTTCATGGCGATGAGTCTCGTACCGTTGTTCAGCTTGAACGTCTTTGTGCAGATAGGAGGTGCCATTGTGAATAGTGCTCTAGATAATGATTCTGGGGATAAGAGCAAGATGTACAAATCAATATCGAGGCTCTTGATCTGATTATCTGCCCGTTGCGATATTCGGTTCTCGACCGCCGGTTGCGGGACTTTTGTGCGGGGGAAGGTCTAAACAACATTACGTCATGTCAACCAATTGAATTACATATGAAGTCGAAGCCACTCGTTTCGCCAGTATAAAGATTTATCCGTAACGATTAAAAAAAAGCATCGCATCGCGGCCAGAATTGTATCCCCTCGGCAATTCATACGGTATATAAGTACCTACCTAGGCAACGTGGAAAGACGGCAATTTTGTGCGGTAACAGAGGAAAAATAGCACGCGTTTTAGTGCGAATATTTGCGACCATTGAACGGAGAACCGAATGACCGGCAAAATGTGAGCGTACAATTTACATGAATACTGGTCGCTCTGCAATGCAAATTCAGGTACTCGCAGTGTCTCTCAGGTATCTTGACCTGATGTAAGTTGCACAAGTACGTATGCTATCTACGCATCCCTCGTTCTCCCTCACGCGCTAGGTCCAATGCATTCGTGTCCAGATGCATAATCCATGCCCCAAATCATATTCACGTCAGTTAATAAAGCTCCGGCGATGGCAAAGCCTTTGCCCAGTATGTCGTTGAGCAGGACAGCCACTCGTTGCCGGATATCATCTCTCTTAGCCTCTAAGGCAACGCCCATTAGCACAACAAGGTAGCTCCATGACTCTAGCCCGACAACGGGAGTCCGTTGTTCTAGCCTCTCTAGGACGAACAATCCATGTCCTTCGAGATCCGGCATGTCTGTCATGTGTGGCAGGTCCTCGTCAATAAGCTTCCACGCCGGATCCCAAAATGTTCGCGTTATTCCCATCAGCGAAAAATGGTAAAAGGCCTCGCGCAGAATGCCAAAGTCGTTCTTGTCCGCCTCGTCGCCATCGTCGTATCTGTGTCCTCGAAGGTTCTCCATCACATCAATGACCGCTGCCGAACTTTCAATAATCTCCGTTCCCTGCTGCAAAAGCCCAGCTTCTGATAGTATCTTCTTGAGCTCTTCGTGAGGTGGCGGTTCAGCAGCCATATGGCGGTCATTCAAAACGTGACGCGCTTGTCGCACCCATTTTGTTGCCCTACATGAATCATAAGCTTACTTGTGCAACACACGACTGGATCTTTCCCCCAGAGTTTGCTTTCCTTACCTGTGATGCAGTCGCGCAAAATTGGCTACGTATTTTGTGTAGTGGTGTAATATGGCGGAGTTGATACGAACTTGGCTAGTAATCGCATCAATATTGTCAAAAGGCTTTGGATCGTAGAGTTCGACATCGACAAGAAAGGTGTCTTCGAACGATACTAGACAGTGGTAAGTTGCCATGAGCGAGTAGTTCATCAGCAATCCTTTGTCAAAGTACAAAAGTGGTGCTCTTTTTCTCTCCTGGACCTGCTGTTGAACCTTTTCCGTCAACTTTCTCATTGTGGCCTGAAAGAAGAGCCATGACTGGCCAGTCATTGTCTGTTCAAAGTCATTGCAGTCAGCTCTGAGTATGATAGGAACTGAGGGTAAGATGCTGCGTATCATGGGTGTTCAAGCTTCGACACACCTCGGCATAAGCCAACAAAATCCCGTACAGCAACGTCAAGTGCTGGTCACTGCTTTCGGGAGATGTGAGAACGTCAAGGAATTCCTTCAACTTATATCGGTCCTGGGCTATGATTGCGGCCGCAGCTTTTTGCTTCTTTTCTAAAGCGGTGGTCTTTGAGTACTCTAGACATATTTTGCCAATTGTCGTTACAACAGCACGAATCGGTATTGACGTGTCGAGATATGTCCGCATGAATGAGAGTGAGAAGACATCGGTCATGGGTGAAGGTGAATCGCCCACGAACGCGAAGAAAGCCATTGTTATGTCAGCCGGCAAGGGCTCCAAGCTCCCCGGCATTGAGCTTAGACATCCTGGTGTGGTGATCTTTGAATCAATGGTCGCATTGGTGGTCGGTGAGCTTTCGCTCATGGAGGATATTCCGGAACTTGACTGCGACCTTTCCCTCATATGCCGGGATTGCCGACAATCACACTGTGATCATCGTCAACATACGTTTTCATGAACAATATCTCATGTCACGTCTCAATCCACTCACCGCAGCCGGCAACTTGCGACACGACAGACATCGTCGTCGCCCAGATGATGGCTTGCTTTGGGGCCTGCCTGACTTGCTGACTCTGTACCGATTCATGGTCACGCATGACCCCACCGTAAGTGTTCAGCTCAAGTTAGCTGCCAAACGGCATTAGGGCAAGGTAATATGAGATGGTTCAAATTCAACGACAACAAACCCGCCGGGTGCCATTTGAATGCTGTGACGGAGACGAAGGAGCCGAACTTAACCCAAGCCCAAGTGCCGAAAGTCAGTTGAGGGAAAAGAGTAGGAGAAAAAAAAAGTTTAGGGTGCCGGTCGGCGATCCTGAAGCTTTGGCCAGCGAGCAGCTTCTCTGCCATGGAGGCGGGTTCGCCCGACAATTGGAGGCTTTCTTCACCACGTGTGCATGAATTTCTTCTGACCTCGAAAGTTTCCAAAGGAAGTTGAGGGGAGCTGTGTACACGTGTAGCTCCTGTGGCGGCCAAACATGGGCAGGGTTGCCATGTTCCATGAATCGAGAAACCTAACCCCACGGATAGCTACTCCTACTTTTATTCAACGGCAGGATGGATGGTGTGAAGGGCGACGAAGCACGGCGGATGAACTTAGACTTTGGGCCGACTGTTCTGCCGCAAGGGCCAGCGCGACGAAACGAATGGAGGGGAAAGAAGGGAGAAAACCCCAGGTCCCCTGCATGGTACCTGACCGTGCGATGCTGGGGCCTCGGTTTCGGCCTGTGTACACAATCCGTTTGCTTGCTTGCATGCATGCTTAAGTTGAAGATGAAGTGAAGGACCACTCCCATTCACAGTCGGGAGATTCCGACCTGGCACGAATAGCAAAGTGTCTGTTCTGTCCAGAGTTTTACCGACAGGAATGCTTAGAGCGGGAAGTGGGCAACAATCTGAAGTCGTGAAGCTAAAGCATCCAACTACGGACGCTAGTTTTGACTCCGTGATGGTCAGACGGAGTCGAGTCATGGAAGTCCTGGCCCGCTACCTCCTCCGCTGTCCGTGAACGTTGCTCAAACAGTCTTTAAAGGCGCTGCGGTCTCCGTGTGCCCCCGGCTATTGCAACGATCCCGGTGTCGTCATAGTACATATCGATTGGGCTAGGTCTTGGAAATCAAGAGTATCCCGCCGGCTGTGACCTGCGAAACAGATGTTCAAGCCGAGCGAACTCGAGCCTAGCGTACCTGAAAGCTTGGGAGTCTCTGACTAGGTGCCTACCAAACGTCGTAGATAGAGACTTGACATTGTATTGAGTGACCAGATGGAGTATCTCTTCCGGTGAATGTGAGAAATAGATGACTAGCGGACAAGGCAATGGGGCTCTTAATTACTGATGGGCATCACTTAGACAGCATCCTTATTTCCGTCAGCGTTCTTCTTTTCCTCGAGACCAAACTCGGTTTCCAGCTCCTTTCTCAGCTCAACCTCCCTCTCCAAGAAGCTCAATAAGAAAGCCAGGCCACCGAACGCAATCGCGATGAGAAAGACCTTTCTCATAGCCTCGGTGAATACATCAATGATCTGACTTCTTGTCGGTTCAGCAAAAGACTCGACAAAGGCTTTGGTGGCGCTGGCATACGCGTCTCCATGCTGTAAAATACTCCGAACCGCAGGGTCATCTATTTTCTGCGCGGCATATGACGATGTATACGTGTTGAAGATGGCCGCTGGGATAGCGACGCCCCAGATACTCCCAAAACTGCGGATGAAAGACCAGCTTGCCGTTGCGGCAGCTTGATCTGCTTCTGCAAGACCTGCCTGGAAGGCTGGTAGCAGAGTGTTGAGGAGCATGCCCGAGCCCACGGCGGGGACGACTTGTATGAGGACCCAGGCTACTGTGCTGCTGTTCCTGTCCAGGACGGCCCATATGCCGAGACCGAGTGTCATGAGGGCGAAGCCTACGATGTGGAGGGCTTTGTAACGGCCCCATCGTGCGAGAACGACGGCGGAGATGGCGGCGCCTGGGATGGAGATCAAGGTCACTGGGAGTAGTTGAACACCTGAACGAGCTGGAGTTGAAAGCTTGACGGCCTGAAAGTAGAGCGGGAGGAAGAAGAATGCCCAGTACAGAATTGCGGAATTGAGGAAGGTGGTTGCGTAGACAACGGCGGAGGTACGGTTCGCGAAGAGGCGTAGAGGCATCACTGGTTCCGGGACAGTGCCTGATCCCTCAAAGATGCAGAAGGCAATGAGGCCTACAAGGCCGAGAATGAGAGGGACGATGACGCGGTAAGAGGACCAAGGGTGGATTGCGCCGGCCCATGTGAGGGCTATGAGGATGGAGACTGTAGATGCGATGAGGATCGAGTTGCCAATGTAGTCGATTCTGCGAAGTTTGTCGTTGAAGGTGACGGTCCGATCCCATTTCACGTGAAGAAAAAGATAGAGGAGAACGAGTGAGAGGCCGCCAACTGGGAGGTTGATGTAGAACACCTGTTCTGTCAGTTTGGGTTGGAACATACTGGCATGAAGGCGAGTGCTCACCCATCTCCAGGAAGTAGTTTGCACGATAATGCCTCCCACGAACGGTCCGACTGCCATGCCGACCCCGTAAATCGCCAGGATTATGGCGATGTAATTACCTCTATCCCTAAGTGGGACGAGGTCGGAGATGATGATGTCGATGATCATGTTTACGCCACCGCTTCCCATCCCTTGCACAGCTCGCCCAGCGATGAGCATCGTCGGGCTATTAGCGCCGCCGCAGATTCCGCTGCCGAGAGTGTAGATTGCTACAATGAATAGCGTGAGATTTCTGCGACCAAAAAGGTTGGAAAACTGCCCAAAGAGAGGCTGGACAGCCGCACTTGATTACACTCCGTATCAGTATCCCCGGCCACATGTATTTGGGCTGATGCTCCTACTGACCTGGTGAGAAAGAAGATGTTGCCAACCCAGACATAGCTGCTCCCAAACTTCAAACGCTCAACAATAGTCGGCAACGAGGTCACAACCACTGTGGTCTCTAGGGAAGCGAGTAGGGAAGTGATGCAAAGCGCGAATAGGATTGCCCAGAAGCGTATGTCTTTCCTGTAGGATGTTGATGCCTCAGTCGCAATGTGGACGTCTTTCTCCTGGTCTTCATCTTGACGAGAAGTTGTCTTTCTGGGCTTCGTGGGACTTTGCGACAGGGTCAGATTCTCCAAGATTTCGCTGTTAGGAGCCGGCTTTGAGGGGGCCATCATGGTGATTTGGGAAGTGGGGGAAGAGGATGATGGGAAATCGAACGGCCCATGAACAGGAAGAACATCGTCCTATTCTCTCGTCATGTAATATATACGAAAATTCCATGCTGCGTCAGCAGGAGGCTTTCCAGGTAGTAGGGAAGTTAGTCGGAGGCTTACAGTGGCGTCTTTGTGATTCGCCAAAGGAACAATCCTTCGACGTGAGCAGTCTCGGAGGCTTTTTACTCTTCGCGCACTGGTTCAAAACGACGCTCAACCCGGCAAATCATCCTTCCAAGCGGTCTCCAAGGCCTTGAAATCAATTTCTTTTTCCGATCACCAACCAAATATACGGCCTCGACATCAGACAATAGCTTTTGATCATATCGTGGTCTACCTCTCTCACAGGTACTCTACATGTAATGGCTGTATCCATAATTAGGATACTGCCCAACATCCATATCATAGCCGCTGTACGCATAGGACGTTGCTGGCCCACCGCTGACACCTACAAAGCCACCGCCCGCAGCGTCGCCATTGCTGGGTTCGACTAGTCGGCCACCCTTCACGCGATTAGCAAGCTCAGTTAGCTCTTTGAGCAACACACCCGCCGAAATAACCTTGAAGCTATCCAGTTGCGTTGCTCGATGTCCTCGCTCGGTGTTGATACTCGGCAGCAACCCGACCATGAAGCACGCATATGACATCTCCAACGCATCCTTGTTCGGTGCCAAGAGCCGTTCTATATCATCGTCAACCTGGCCGGTGCCAGGCGGTGCAGGATTGTTGTAGATATCGGTAGGTTGGGCAGCCTGGTCTCCAGCATTGCGGAACTTGCGCCGCATTTGTTGCACCATGAGGTCGGCTAGTCGATCAAACTCCTGTTTGAGCTTCATTGAGTTGTCCTTTTGACGACGAGTCTGCGCGCCGGTCTTGTTGAAGATTGAGCCGCAGAACACCTCAACTTCAGTCAGTTGCTTCAAATGACTGTCGGAATACGTTGTCATGGCACTGAAGAGGTGATCTTCGTATCTAGACAGACTGTTAGCTGGAAACATTTCATGAAATCGCTATAACGTAAGTCCCAGAGCCACTCACACATCTCGCAAACTTTTCGCTTCCTTGAGCTTCGTTTCCCAGCTCACTCGCCCATGAGTATAGTCTTTGATCTTTCGCTCTATCAAGCCGACAAACTGGTCCCAAACCGAGGGGCCAGTCTTGGCGATGGATCTCTTGATTTCGTCATCCCAGATCTGTTTTTCGTCGACATTGCGATAAAGTTCGCCGAGGATTTTGTCTGATTTGTAGTATCGGTAAGACGGTGCGAAACCGTCGTCATCTTCGTCAACTGCCTCGTCCTTGCCAAGGAAGTCGATCTGCGTTCGATCATACAGCTGAGCAGGGGGAGCGGGAGCAAGGCTGTGAGACACTGTCAGCAGTAATAAGCTACGCCGATCGATTTAATGTACTTACAAGTCCGGACGAAAGATTGGTGCTTTTGGGATGTCTTCTCGCGCGACTGGGATTCCCGTCTTCGAAAAGTCCACAGCAGTCGAATGTAAACCGGCCAATTTGATGCAGTCTCCGCTCACAGTGCCTTCATGGTGTTTATCGGCGAGAATTAAATGCCTGGTGGCAATCATGCCGAGTACGTCAGACTTCATGAAGTCTACAAACCAGTTGGCCATGTCTTCTCTCGTCACTGATCGACCAAGTGGCTCCGGTGTAACTCTGGGGTAGTCAGCAGCTTCATATACCATTGCGGGTATCGCATCTTCATCCCAGATGATGTTGTACAAGTCGCCATCAAGATCGCCCCCACTTAGCTTACTAGGTAAGTCGCGGTCTCCAAATTGGCTAAAAGCGATGCAGTTACGGAGATTCCGTAAAGGATGGCCTGCGGGTGGTACCCTAACCATGACCTCCTGGATATCGCCGGGATGAAGAGCTGGCGACCGCGTCACGAGGATGAAGGTGCCATCCTTGATATCTTCGACAATGGCTGGTTTTCCAGGTCTTCGATAAGTGTCGAAACAGACGTAGACCTCACCCTCCTTGAGGAATCTTGTCTCGTCCATGATTCCAAAGAGGGTGACGCCCTTGGGAACGGGTATTCTGGCTTTGTGCTTCAACAATCGCAATTCCCGCAAAACAACCGACTCAACCACTGCTCTCAAGAACCTGTCTTGTCGGTAGTCTATACCGTACTTGTCAAGGCTCTTGACAAAATTCGGCAAGAAGAAACTTGTGCCGATGCTCTGGAGATGCAAGAATGTTGCCGTGTTGTAGGCATCGGCCGTTACTGCCCGCAGTCGATCAAGCTCCATCTTCTGCAGCCGGAGAAACCATTGCTTGGATACACCCAAGTCCTCCATGATCTTGATCAATTGCCGATTCAGCACCAGTTTGAGAGGCCGCGATGCCACGTCACAGATTTCGAGATTCTCCCAATCCTTACTCGGGAACTTCTCCATGGACTCTTTTCGAATGCACACCGCTCGACCCTGGAGCCTTGAGTCTAGAGACAGCATTCCTTTGACACCTCCCCACCGAATCTGCAAACAAGTGGAAATCAACGAGCCTCGTGGCAGGCGTGGCCAAATCAGCTCGAGAGCTTCGCGAGAGATTGTGCCTACACCATCGCTGAAAACTCGTTCAGTTTCACCCTCCATTGATTTGACATCCGGAATATAGTAGCGCTTGATGTCGGCCTTGCTGATGGAAATAAATGAGGGGGTTTCCGAAAAGGCCTGTCCGATGCGAGCCGCGCACTTGGCCGGGATCTGTATTTTGTCGAAGTCACCTAACGATTTGATGATGTTTCCGTATATTTGCAATTTGTTCCAATCGTCAAAGAATGGAGCCGAGAACCATGCTGAATGGGACCGCAGTGAAGAGTGAGAGAAACCGAGAAAGCCATAAACTCGACCGGCAACCTCTAGGCCCTTGCTAAGGATGCTCTTGTAGCGGTCAAATATCTTATCGTAGGAAACCTTGCCGCTGAAGAATAGATCACTACCGTCTTCATCGGCGAAGGTGACTCTCATGAAATAGTCCGTCTGGTTTGGATACTTGCGAAGGATGCGATTGAGAGGTTCCAGATCGGGTCCATGCAAGGTGATTCTCGTCGGGGTCACTGTGGCCTTGAAGACCCAAGCATGATGATCGGTTATCTCAGGCTCGAGCAGGACATCTCTGAATTCCATGTTGGTTTCGGATTGCAGACGCTTCTCTATGGAGAGAAGAAATTTCAGGATCTCTTTGGGGTCCAGTTCGCTTGGGTCAGTGTTATGACACGGGTAGGATATCCCATCCTGACCAGTGCCATGCAAAATCTTGAAGGCCTGCTGGGAAACTGGCTCCGGCTTGCCATCTAATTTGGCACGTTGGAACATTTTCTCAAGAGACACCAACATTGTGTGGGCACTGCGTGGGTGCAAGAAGTTGTTGAAGACCAAGGACTGCAGCTGGAATAGAATGCCAAAAGGTAGTGCCTTGGCCGATCCGGCCTTGACTAAACCATCGTAGAATTTGGCCCACTCAGTGTGGTAGTCAACTCCGTAAAAGATGGGCATCTGGTTGAGAGTGACTTTTGAGTGCGCAATGACCATGATCTCCTTCTTCTTGAGGCTGATCATGTTGTGATCGAAGTCAGGGCCGAAGATCCCCAGCTGATAGACGAGGCAAGTTCCCGCGCACTTCG